TCAAATTATGAGTGACTCTCCAGTGATAGCGCCCTCACTATAACTGCTAATATTCTTTTGTTTTTATGAGACTCACCTTGATGACATAATAAGCCTGAGACTTGTCTTCCTCCCCTTCTGGTGGTGCCATGGAAACCATCAGAATCTCATACCTGCATGAAAAAAACACACATAAAACTCAACTATTAATCAACTGGAGACTGATTTAAAATCCATCCCGTGCCAAATCAAGTCAGGTAAACTAAAATTATAGACCTATAAACACTAGGTATTCTCGTGACAAAACTTAGGAAACATCCCATTATTTTACTTGTAATGGTCAGTTTACAAAATCAAATAAATCACAACGTGTAAACCATAAAATCTGATGTCTGATCAGAATTTTAAAAATCAGGCAAACTTGAACTTTGGCTTCAGATTAATCTAATCTGATCAGATTAAGTTCACCGTGTAAAATGAAGAACCTGATGTCTGATCAGATTTTTTGAACATCAGACATGTTCAATTTGATGAAGTTTATCCGATCATGTAAACACCTATTTTGCCATCATCGGATGCAGTTTCGTCTGATAAATCTGATTATGTAAACTGGCCCCATGAAAACTCACACATACCTTTTTCTCAGCTTATCGATTTTTGTAATTCTTTCATGTAACTCTGCACTGACGGTTGATTTCTCCTCGTCTGCAGCTTTTAGCTGCGCTCTCAGCATGTCGTAATGAATATTAATCTCCTGACGCCTTTCTTTCATTGCCTGGGTTAGAAGATACAAAAACAACCAGAATTAAGAACACAAATCTAGATCAGTACTGTAAGCAAATAACACCGAATTAACGGCAAGGTAAAAACTATGTCTAATTATAGTAAATACGTACTGCGTGCGTGACTCGAACCGGCGCTCGCGTACGGCACCTAATCGCCTAGCTTCACGCCACTACACGTCTTCCCCTCGGCCACCGGGCATCCCCAATAAAGGATGCTTAATAACCGAGCTTATTACGTGCAGAGAACGTGAAACCGTCCACGTGATTATTTAGA